TGCCGAGTGAAAGAATCCAGACATAAGAGTACATACTATATAATTTCGCAGACAGGATGCTCCAGAAAAGACCAGTCTCATCTGTAATGATAGAAAGCAGGTCAGCAGTGGGCTTGGGCTGGGGTGGGGTGGGAAGAGGCACAGTAGGCCTTCTGCAGAGCATTGCAAATGTTGAACACTTTGATTACGGGTGGTTACCTGAGTGTATAGTTGTGTCTTAATTCAGTGTGCACTTAAAATGGGTACATTTTATGTAAATTATACTTTAATAAAGTTGATTTAAAAAATGAACTACTGATGCATGGAGCAGTGTGGAAGAATCTTTAAGAGAAAACAAAACATTATGCTGAGCCAAAAAAGCCAGACACAAAGACCGTGTACCGTATGATTCCACTAATGAAGTTCCAGGACAGGTGAACCTAAGCTGTGGCGCTCGACAGCAGAGCAGTCCCTGCCGCTGGGGTGAGCCACAAGGAAGCTATGGGGTGATGGCCATGTTTTCCATCTTGTTTGCGGGTGGTGGTTACACGGGTGTAGACATGTTTGAAACTCCATATACACTTAAAATCTACGTTTTTCGCCATCTTTAAATTTTACCTTTATCTGATTTTATGAAAAAAAGACACGTATAGAAAAAGAACAATAACAATAGACATATATTGTGCACATGAGATTGCTGAGTGAGTCATTTCTGTAAATCAATTCCTCTTACAATGGTTGTGCCAGGCACTCCTAGAGCAAAGGGCAAAGTGGATCACACAGCCACCTGGTATTGAGAAACCACACCCTGCTGGACAGTGCTCTCAACTGCACGCAGCCTTCACCCCATGTTCTAGAAATAGATATAGTGAGCACAAGATAACACGAACAGTCCTCAGCTCCGCCACATACAGAGAGTGGCTGGGAGTCGCATATCACTCTGGAGGGGCAGGAGGGGCAGAAGCTGCCCTTCCTCAAAACCTTGGGCTGGGGAAGGCTCCTCCTCTGAGCACGTGGCATGGGGGTCATGAACCCGCCAACAATCTCTGAGCCTTGCCAACAGGAAAGAAGTGGGGGTGGCTCTGGTGGCAACTGATACTTTCTGCTACATCTCCTATTCTTCCCAGCTCCATAGCTATTCCTTCTAAGGCTTATGTCTCAGTTATATGTCCAGATCCATGTACCACCCACAACCACCAGGTGAAACTGTTTTTCCCCCAAATATACAGGCATCTGCTGGAAGATTGGGACCTGCTGGCTTACAATTTTCTGTGCTTGTGTTCTTTCCTCTTGGAAGTGCCTCATAATTTAAGGCAAGGACCCAGGTCCTCCCAAAGCATTGTGGGTTCCATATGGTATATATACCTGGGATGACACATTCTCCTGTTGTCCCACATCTGTGGGAGACCTCCATTTGTTTGAGGGCAAAATCACAATAGTGCAAGGGGCTGTCTCTTTTATGTCACCACCTCGTCTTTAGGTATCCTACTCACGCCCACCCCATGGAAGAGGGTGCGATTTATGAGCCTCCTGGGCCAAAGAACGAGAACTGTCTCCTTGCTGTGGACCGGATGGGGTGCTGAGCAGAGTGGCAGCATCATTCCCACTTGGATGACGGATATGTGAAGATAGCCTGCCGTCAGACTGAAGTCCTCAACAGACACCAATGACAAGGAAAACCGTGCTTAGCTACCAAGCTGTTCCCTGAGTCTGGCAAATCGGTGCTTGTTCCCGTGGAGGCTTGCAGCTCTTCTGTGCTCACATTTTCCTAACTGCTCAGCACCCCCTGTTCTGCTTTCCTCACTACTGGCTTTCTGTATCGAGACTAGGGGGCTGGAAAGTACTCTCAGGTGTGTCTCCATTTTTTTGTGTCTCCATTTTTTTGGTCCTGTTCTTTTTTTTTAAAAGAATTTTTTTATCGTTTTAATTTTTCCTTCTCTCCAAAGCCCCCCAGTACACAGCTGTATATTTTAGTTGTGGGTCCTTGTAGCTGTGGCATGTGGGATGCCACCTCAGCATGGCCTGATGAGCGGTGCCATGTCCACGCCCAGGATCCAAACCGCGAAACCCTGAGCTTCTGAAGGGGAGCGCACGAACTTAACCACTCGCCCACGGGGCCAGCTCCTTTTTGGTCCTATTCTTGGAATGCAAGCTTTGTGTTTGCAGGCTTTGTTTCCAGTTCTCCAGTGGCTGACCCGTACTTAGCTGTCTGGTTGGGGGAGGGCAGGGGGTGGAATGGATGCATAGTGATGGAAAGACAAGTTGAACAAGGGAAATTTGAGTGGGGGAAGGAGATGGGGGAAGAGAGAGAGAGCATAAGACTAATGCTTCTTTGCAATATCATCCAGCCCTATCCATATTTACCAGTAGAAGCAGGAAATTAATTCAGTATGTACTAAAAAATTACTCCCATGGGCTAAAAGGGTTAATGCAATTTCCAAAGAATCCTGCGAACTGTCTGAAAGAAGAGGGTATATATAGATTGCTCACTGCTCATAACGGTCTGCCGCAACGTCAACTAAACCCAGTATTTTCCTCACCAACTGCCTTTTCTATGGTTGGTTGATCTAATTAGCCCTTTGCCCTCATTAAAATGGTGTGTTCTCTCACTGATTACAGCTGTTAATGCCGTCTAAAGCAGTGCTGTGCAGTAGAACTTCTGTGATGATGGAAACATTCTACGTCTCTATTGTCCAATGTGGTAGCCGCCAGCCACAAGAGACTACAGAGTACTTGCATATGGCTAGAGTAGCTGAGGAACTGAATTTTTAGTTTTATTTAACTTTAATCAATTTAAATTTAAATACCCACATGTGACTAATGGCTCCTGTATCAGACAATGCAGGTTTAAAATTTACCTGTGTGCTCTCACCAAATGTGAGGGGGCTTCATACTGCCCCAGCTCCTGAGCGAATCAGTCAGTGTTCTACCTGACATAGAATGAGTGCTCAGCAAACCTTTGTTGAAATACCTAAAATGTTATCCTTGAATAAAGTGGACGGACTTGGGCAACAGCAGTAATGGGGTTTGGGGCAGAGAAAACTTCTCTTGTTAATTTCCTCCACCTCCTAGGTGAAATGTGGACCGCCCCTTCTGGAACTAAGGGTGGGTCCTTGGCTGGCAGTTCCATTTTGTGAGATAAGGTGCTAGACGTAGTTACTAGGCAAGGGAAAGACATATTTCAAGTGAAGCTGGAGAATAGCTTGTTGCCAAAACGCAGACCCTTGAGGTTTATGGTGGACGAAACATCACTTCCCAAAGTGTAGATAAGATTCATTTATAAGGGGGCTGGACCTCATGGTTTGGCTTGGACTATACCCTGAAAGCTCTGTTTCCCCCAAGACCAGGAAACTGCATCTGCCCCGCAGTAGATTCTCAGTTCTCCTGGACAGAGAATCTGCCTGGGGCTATATTTTGCTACGCTTCTGTGGCCTGTAGTCCTGAGTAAGTCTTCTTTGATGCCTTCCTTTCTCCCACCACTGCATCCAGTCACTCAAGTCCTGCTGAGCTGTTCTCCCAAGTACTATCAACTATGTTCATTCATTTCTCTTCCAGTTTCCACTGTTTTGGTCAGAGCCACAGCAACTTGTGCCTGGACCTTTGCTGGGGCCTCCTTGCTTTCAGTCTCACACTCCTCTAATCAGGGTCATAGTGCACAGCTGGCCAGGTTGTATACTGCACACAGGTGGCTGGCCAAGGAGGTGAGCGGGGCTAAAGTATAGCCTGCATTCCTGTGCCCTGGTGTGGACCTCTGTTTATTTGAGAGAGTACCTTTGTAATTTGCACAAAGGTGCCACATAATCCTGGTGGTGTGGACCTGCACAGTGCAAGACAGTAGCCACTAGCCATATGTGGGCATTTAGATTTTAATTAATTAAAACAAGCAAAATTTAAAGTTCAATTCCTCAGTCATACGAGCCACATCGCAAGTGCTCAACAGCCACATGTGGCTAGTGGCTTCTGTATTGGACTGTGCAGATAAAGAAAATTCCACCATTGCAGAAGGCTCTGTTGGGCAGCACTGGACACTCTGCTTCTAAACCATTCTCTATACAATCTGCTGCTGTGAGCGATCTGTACCGCAAATCTAAACATGGCCCTCTCTTGTTAAAAGCCTTCAACGATTTCCACTTCCATCAGCAGCGAACAGTTGGCAGGGGGTGAATCAGTTTTGTGGGTCACAACCAGCATTAAAAACAAAACAGCGAAAAAGACAGGAAGGGAAAGCACTCAAGAAGCTTTAGCACTGTTTGTGATAGTTTTGTTTCAGCTCTATCTATAGTTGCGTCTATATCCAGTCGTCCATCTCCGAGTAATTCAAGGTCTGTGATGCTCCGCTGGGTTGCAATGAAAGTCTCCCCATTGCGTGTGGTGAGCCAAACGGTTTGCAAAGCATGGGCTTATGGGATGTGAAGTATGAGCTCCCTCACCAGGCACAGCAGGCCCTCTGCGGTCTAAACCCTTTCGAAGCCCCCTAACGCTCGCAGTCTCGGCTCTGTCCTGCTGATGGAGCGCCGCTGGCGGGTTCACCTAGGACGCCGAGCTTTTCTTCTTTCTTTCACCTCTCTGCGTTGCTCGTGCTGAACCCTCTCCTTGCACCGCTGAATCTGCCTTCTCTGTGCCCGGACAGCTACTCGCCCCGGAAGCCTCAGCCTACGTCTCCCGCAGGGTCCCGCCCCGAGCGGGCCGGGCGCCCCCGACGCTTCCCAGAGGCCGCAGGCTCCGGGGACAGGGCGATCGCGCCGTCAGGACACTCAGGGGGTCGTGTCCAGCACGAGTTGTTCCAGCGCAAGTGCTAGCTTACTCATCTTCGTATCTCAAAGGAGCAGCACAGTCCCTGGTACACCCTAGGCACTCACGAAAGAATATTCGTCCAGAGAATCAACCAGGGAAGGGAGGCGAGGCCGACCGGCGGCAGCACGGACCACGAAGGCGCGCGCCGCCTCCGGCCACTAGAGGGCGCCGGCCGGTGCGCAGGCGCGCTGGGCGGGCGGCGGCGGGCGCGGCGGGCCGAGGAAGCGAATGGTTTTACCCAGCGGGCTGTGCGCCGCCGCTCCCCGCCGCCGGCGCTGCTCGCTCCGCGGCCATGGCGTTCACGTTCGCGGCCTTCTGCTACATGCTGGCGCTGCTGCTCACCGCCGCGCTCATCTTCTTCGCCATCTGGCACGTGAGTACGGCCGAGGGGCGGAGGGCAAGGCGGCGGCGCGGCCCCTTCCCGGCCCGGGCCCCCAAGGGCCGCGCCCCGGGGCGCGCCGGGCCGGGCCGCGCGGCAAGGGGCGCCGCCTCCGTCTCAGGCCGGGCCGCGGGCCAGGGCGCGGGGGCGGCGGCTGACGGACGCGGCTCCTCGCCGCCGGTGGGCGCGGGCCTGCTGGCAGCCCCGCGGCGCGGCCCTGGGGGCCCGGGGAGGGGTCGCGGGCACAGAGGCGGCCGGGCGCCGGGCGGGAGCGGTGGCCCGGATGCGTTGTTGAGCACGGCCGCCGTTCTCTCGGGCTTCCGCAGCATCCTGCCCCGGTGAGATCGTCAGGACCTGTGGCAGAGGAGGTCCCCCCTGCCTCCCAGCCCTTCTTGGGTGCTCTTCAAGTGGAATCGGGTTCTGGTTTCCGTGTGAGCTCCGAGGTAGACTGGATCGATGACTTTGTTGACCGCATCTCCCAACTTTCCCCCGAAGTCCTGCTTTGACCACCCGAGTTGCTCAAGAGACAGTCCTCCCAGCCGCCCCTGTGTGCTGGGAGCCTGACTTAGAGGCAGTTTTGGTTTGATTTGGAAATGCTCAGCTTAAGCTTCTCTAGAGCAGTGCTTTTCTTTCACTCGCATCATGCTGCAGGATAGAAGCAAGCACGTCGTTGCTGATCCCTGTAAGGAACAAGTTCGTTCCCTGAGAAACGGTGCTCCAAGAGGTTTTTGAGGATTCCTGTTTCTCAGCGCAAAATTAGAAGCAGCCTTCTGGAAATCAGCATTCCTTAAAACTTTGTCTTAGATTTGCTTCTCCCCTCTCCATGTTCTAGTCCCTTCTGGAATATTGATCCTACTATGAATGATGGGGCCCGTTCACTCATGTAAGCTTTGAGTCAGTTTTCATCATGGATTTGTTATGAACATAGAGGGCAGAGTGATTTAAAGGGCAGCAGTGTCTTGTGCAAAAAACTCAAAAGTAGAGTGATATCAAAAATCCGTTCCCTTCTGCCAAAGAGCGTGGTTACGTTTATAATTATTTTAGAACCCGCCTGCTGGTGTAGTGCGGGGTGCTTGTGTAAGCTGTGAAGTAACTGCTCCCTCGAAATGCTCGTCAGTAGGAACCAGTAACTTGAAAAGTATTTTAGGCTCTTCTTTGGTGGAAGAACAATAAATAAAGATAATTTGGGATGCAAACCAGCTCCCCTTTAGTAAGCCTCTGATGAAACTGGAATGTTGGTTCCCTTCTGTCTGTAGATGTGATTTAATCCGCTTCTGTGTGACCGGTGCTTTCTGTTTTCTGAGATGATGAGGAGTCTTGGAGCTGTGGGTGCCTTTTCACATCTTGAACCAGGTTGGGTTTGGCTTAAGGAAAACCTTAACTGCACTTCTAAAAACTGGGTGATTTAGTATCCGCTTTCAAATGAATATGTGTCTGGTGAAGTAGATGATTTTAAGTCCTCTTATAGAATTTTTAAAAAGTTTTACTCCACAGATTAGTAGAGAGCTTTTATCCTTAGGGGTTTCTTAGTAGTTCAGAGGATTATGCATCCTTTGGGAACAAATTGGAAATTCTAAATAAATAGTTTAAATTTTTCTATTGACTATGTAACCTTCGGTTTATTTTCGTTTAGTGTCTGTCAGGAGACTCGTTTGGAAATTTCAAGTATAAATTCAAAAAGTCCTGTTTACATTAATTGTTGTAAAGGATTTTTTATGCTGATGGTTCTGTCAGTTTAGCCCTAATTCATGTGGTTTAGCTCTGTGGAAAATACAGTTGGGGCAGAGGTTGGTTTGAAAGCTAAAAGTGCAGAAGTCATTCCCTAACGACGTGCGTCAAGTTGGAAGGTATCCTGAATTGTGTAGTTTGGTGTCTTTAGGGATTTATCTGTTTTATCGCTTTTGCATTTCTGTGGAAATTGTTGTGAACATCTTTGTCCAGATGCGCAGTTGCAGGAAATTTGAAAACCACTGGTTTAAGAATCTTTTCAGAAGTTTTGTAAACTCTACCTTATAGCACTCAAACAGAAGCCTGTTCAGCAACCTATTCATTAAAAGATCCCTTGAAATCACCTGAAGAGTATCGACTGGACGCTTACAGACGTGCCAGCGTTGTCTGCGCCCTGGGACGGAGCAGTGAGCACAGCGAGAATGTTTGCTCTCACGCAGTTCACATTTTAACATGTATTTTCCTTCTATTCTTGTTTTAGTTATAATTTTTATTAGGTCAGATTAGTGAATTTTATAAAATTCTAGAAATTTTAAAAACCCATCTTTTCATGAAGCCAGGAACTGTAACAGGGAAATAAACCAGCATGTTAAAAACTAGACATATGATTCCATTGATTGCTGATAATATTGAGTAACGCTGTCTCATGTATAAAGATCCTATTCCTAAGCCACCAGAGGAACGGCAGATTAAGTTCTCTGTCCCGTGGGTGACCATGGCAGCAACTAAAATAGCTCCCCCACAAACTTGGTGCCTTTGGCTTATTTTGACACCTGACAATACCACATAGTGGCGCATTGCCTCTATTTGATTTTTAGTGCATTTTGACTTTGAAGTTCTGCGTTTAGTGACCCTAAATGTTAAAGCCATATTTCTCCAGAGTGAGGACAAAAACATTCTTGCAACGTATTTTATAAATGGCTGAGAGCTTTCTCGCCTTATCACATTTGTAGCTTTCACTATCACTCCACGAGAAGCTGGCCTTACCTGGGCTACCCTTCTTCAGTCTTTAGTTTTGCCAACAAATGAAATGACCTGAATGCAATAGGAATATGCATAGGACCCCAAAGGAGGTCAGATTGATCACTTTTATAGTGGCATTGAACAGGGCTACTCTTGCCGATGTGGTCCCTTTAGCACAGGATGCCTCTAGGGGCAGAAGAATTAGAAAAATCCTCCGTCCTGAACTGACGCAGGCCCTGGGCGCAGAGCCTGGTGCACGGCCCTTGGCAGCGTGAGCGCGGGCCAGCTCTGAGGCCCCATCCTTCGTCCTGTGTAGAGACTGCACTACTGGACGTGGCTGTCCTGGCCAGGAAGTTTAACAATCCCTTCTTGTTTCTCTGTTCTGAGGCCATTTCTTGCATTTCCAAATCGAAGCTGGACTTTCAATGTATGTGTTTGGGCACAAATGGGAACAAATTGAAGCATGTGAGTCCATCCCTAGTGTCCCCTGAACACTGTGACAAAGGAGGGATGTGCACAGATGGTTAAAAACACTTCACACTGAGGGGACCAGTCACACTTCACACAGTCTCCTGGGGGACACAAACCTGGACATAAATCTCTGCTTCAGTGTGAGAAATGCCGTGTGGGCAGCATTTTGAAGCCCTGTGCTCTGTGGAGATGAGACAGGCGTGCAGGTATTTTGACCAAGGGAGTCAGGAGAACCCTCCAGAGAGGAGTTGACATAGGCAGAGAGTTTTTTAGGATAAAGAAGAGTTTCAGTAAATTGTTGTGGGTGAGGGGAAGAGCATTTGAAGTAGAGAAAATAACTTGAAGAGATGCATTGAAAGATTGAAAATTAGGATATTTATCACGGTATCAGATCATTTTGGTGACAATAATAAAATGTTTTCAGTTCTTTCAATCTGATTCTAGTTATTTATTAGCACATTGAGTTTACTCTAAATTTGTATATGTAATGTTGGTACACTTTTTCTTTTGTTAACGTCATTCAATTATTATTTGATAATGGGGCAGGTTTGTTGCTGCTTTTTATTAAAGTGAGAGATCCTAACTATTTTAATTTTATTTTAGATTATAGCATTTGATGAGCTGAAGACTGATTACAAGAATCCTATAGACCAGTGTAATACCCTGAATCCTGTAAGTTATAATAGAGGGCTTTTCTTTAGATTTTTAAACGCTTTTTGCTTTTAACTTGATATAATTTGAAAATGGCCAATATTCTCAGTAGCATGATATATTTGTACTTTTTGAAGTAGGCAGAATTTTAAAAAATATTCTTTTTCCTGTCCTGCGTGTCTATTCTGACTATTATTAATCTGCTGGTGATCTTGTCAGCTGTCGTACTAACATTCTTCCAATCTGCTTTTTACATTGTCGGCCAAAGACAGTTGAAAAGGTCAAAAAGATTAAAAGAGTCAAAATTGCATTAAAGGTGTGTACTGCTCTTCAGTTTAATGTTTTAATGCTACATTTCATGGGGAGGGCTAGGGCATTTGTATTTGTAAAATGTTCTGTTCAGTGTGCTTGTTCATATGCCTGTTGAGGGTTATGATTTCATGAAATTTCATATTTTATGCAAATGTTTGCTTGCTGGCCCAGTCAAGTAGGGAAAGCTGTTAAATGCTTATGCATCTTTAAAAATGTTATAGCCATAGGCACTTCTATATTTATATTAAATTATTTGGTGCAGTGTTTGAAAGTTGGTTAATGTAAAATGAATGTAACAGATGGTGAGATGATTCTCCTGCTGTGACCTACTGTGAGGTGGTCTGCAAGTGGAGTCTTTAGTACCATATCTAGTTTATCTTTAGTTATGGCTGTTCTGGAATTAATTCACTCTTTCAGCTGATGTTTGTTCAGATCCTTTTAGGAGGATAGCTCTGTTTTTAGGCTCTGGAATCTTGCAGTAATGCTGACCTTTGGACTCATGCTGCCAAAGTTTTGTAGATAGCAATTTGTATACAAATGTCTACATAGTTGTTTCTAATGTATATCCACTCTAAATTTCTAAAACCAACCTGGCTGACGTTCTGAGCTCCGAGGGATTTAATTATAATGTGGCTCCATTGTGCTTAGGGGGTTTATGTGTATTTTGGACTTCATTTAGTGTACTTCTTTAGGGAGATTCTCCTTTAGCCTGTAGGATTGATTTTGCCTAATTGGTCAGAAACTGAAAGGTTGTAAGAGAGCACTGGGTGTATCTTCAAGAAATAGAATACAATAATTTATCTTGAAAAATTACTTAATGAAGTTGAGAACTTGTGTAGACTTTAGTTGTGTAAAACTATAATGCACTAGCATGCTAGAGGGATTTTATTTGGAATAGGGCCTCTAAAGTTAGTTTGCTCCTTTATCATTGTTTCCTGGATGAATCTGAATGATGGAGCAGATTCCTAGTCGTTAAAGAGCTGTTACAGTAAGACTTGATGTAGGTACAGTTAAAAGTATTAACTTACTATCTGTTTCTCTGCTCTTTTGAGACAAAATATGAATTGACTCTGCTTTCTCATGGGAAAGTAATTATGTTCCTTGTAAAACATCTTAAACTACTATTGAAACTAATTGTTACCAAGAAATTAAGAAACTGAAATTTCTTTGGACAGCTGTTTAATAGTATTCTATCCTGTTTGGCTTTTCCTTATCTGAAATAACCAATGATGATGAGGATGATCATAGTTGAAATCAGAGGAGGGCTTTCCTGTCTGCCAGGCTCTGAGCTAAGCATCTTCACCTGGGTTTTTCCATTTGGTTCTCCTGACCATCCTAAGAGGGAGGTGGATTGCTCTTCTCTTGCATAGGAGAGTAAACTGAGGCTTAGTGAGGTTAGAGCACTCAGCCTGAGGTCACCCAGCTAAGGGAGGGCCAGAATTTGAACCCACATAGCCTGAGTTTTAAGCTCAAGCGCTTGTATTTTGCTAATTTACTTTAAATTTGAGAGAGACTAATTTCATTTTAACATATAATGTGTGATTTCTGGCTATTCTTAATGGAAAGAAATCCTTGCTTAGAAAAGATGTGCTTGGGACATCCTCATCTTGCAACAGGTTGGAAGGCAGTTTTTATACCAGCACAAGTTGTGTTTTGATAGGGTGCCGACGATTGGCTTAATAGCAGTGCATCTGACAGTTTTCCCTATTTAAGATTGATTTTGACAATTCTGCCAAAGTATGGGGGAGGACACATATCATTATTTTTTAAAATGTGAACCTTAACTAGAGAATATTATGATTTGCATGTTTAAGTACCATCATTTCAGCTGTATTTGCATGAGGTATTTTTTGTGGATACAAGTTTTTGCATAAATGTTGGTTCCTAAATGGAATAATTTTTATGCCACTTATGGGCAAATTCTGTCATTAATGAATGATTGGAAAGGACTGGTTTCTATTAGAGATGCATAGTAAAAGTTTCTGGACCTTTTTTGTGGAGAAAAGAGATTGTGGCATTTGTTTCATATTAGAACTGGTAGAGTTTCAGATTATCATCACTCTCACTAAAGTACATTGTTTAAGAGCAGTAAGGGGTCATGCTCTCAAAATCGTTTTTTCCCCATACCTTAGTCTGTAAGTGTAGCATGGAAACTTGGATGATAATTTATATTGTTAGATATCAGTTGGCTTTAGAGGGCTAAAATAGGCTTACTATATATATATATATATATATATATATTTTTTTTTTTTTTTTTGAGGATGGTTAGCCCTGAGCTCACATCTGTTGCCAATCCTCCTCTTTTTGCTGAGGAAGACTGGCCCTGACCTAACATCCATGCCCATCTTCCTCTACTAGGCTTACTATATTTTAAAGAAAAATCCTGTAATTTAAACAGCAGCTCTAGTGGTGTACTTCTAATGAAATGTATGTTTTTCTTGGTTTGTACTGGTTGTAGTCAACTGAGTTTGAAAGACTTCCTACGGACATTTTCTTGTTTTTTGACAGATAGTTAACTTTGATCTTAATTAAATGCTGGCTTAAAGGTTCATATTATTTACAAGTTTATATATATGCAGAGTTTATCTTTTGTTATTTATTATATTAAGTTTGTTGAAAAATCTGTTTAGTAGTATAGATTAGTTGGTTTTACTGGGATTTCATTTAAAATAGGATTCATTAAAAACTTTGCTTCAGGGGCCGGCCCAGTGGCACAGTGGTTAAGTTCTCACGTTCTGCTTCTCGGTGGCCCGGGGTTCGCCAGTTCGGATCCCAGGTGCGGACATGGCACTGCTTGGCATGCCATGCTGTGGTAGGTGTCCCACATATAAAGCAGAGGAAGATGGGCATGGATGTTAGCTCAGGGCCAGTCTTCCTCAGCAAAAAGAGGAGGACTGGCAGTAGTTAGCTCAGGGCTAGTCTTCCTCAAAAAAAAAAAAAACTTTGCTCCATACTTTTTCAATTTAAGAAGTAATTTGGCAGTATTAGAAAATGGGCTTGCATATGTAGTATATGTATTGTATATTATTATATTCCACAGCTATGGTTTCCCCTGAGGAAAGCTCTGACAGTGTTGAGGATTCATATAATTTTAGTTTGGTATAATGCAGACATTTGAGAAACTGGCTTTGCAGCTGTGACTTACAGGAACTTCTTTGGCTGAAACTTGCAATGAAAGGTTTTGGTATTTTTATTTAACAAAGTCTTTGGGCTGAAATCTTTAGAATGAGAAAGATAATTTAAGGCGTTAACTCCTGGTCAGTTTATAAAAAGCGCTTTGCTTGAATTAATTTTTCCTTACTTAATACTACCTACTATCAGGCTTACTTTGTTTTTGAGTTCTGAGCTTCTCCTGGTCTGCCTGTCTGCAACATTTCATTGGAAAGCAAGCATAAAGAAACAGGAAGGCCATATAGGAATGAGCTCAGGAACCGGGAAAATTCCAATTTCATGGTTGAGAACTCAGTCTTTTCCCTCCTACGTTGCAGAAAGCACATCATTTGCATTTGTGCATATTAGTGTTCTTTCCCCCCAACTGTGCTGAGATTATTGGCTGTTGGCTTTTCATTGAAAAATTACTTTTGTGGTAATGTGATGTGGTTTGCTAAATATTGTATATGTAGCATTCTTGGTTTCTGTTAAAGGCTTAAAATCCCTAATGTGTAAACTTCCAAAGGGGAGTTTTGTTTTTTTTGGGTCTTTTTATATCTTGCATGTGATTAGATACCTTATTTTTGTATTTTTATCATTGTTGAATGGTAGAAAGAAAAAGTATTCCAGTTGATCAGCAAATAACTGTTCAAACAGTCTGGGTGGTAACTTTGTAATGTAACCTGTTGCTCTAATAATTTGAGTTTAAATTTTAAGTTTTATCTTATTCTTTTAGTATCCTCTGGTCAGTTTGCTTGTAATAGTGCTTTTGGTAAAAAATTAAATATGGAAATAAAATTCAGTAGCGTCTTTCATCTCTAATTCTAAGAAAACAGTGATTTTTCATTATGGAAACTTGGTTGCCACCTGCTTTCCAAATTAGCAGTTGACTTAATGCCAAAGCATTTGGATAACTGGCGTGTCTTTTCCTTCCAGCTTGTACTTCCAGAGTACCTCATCCATGCTTTCTTCTGTGTCATGTTTCTTTGTGCAGCAGAGTGGCTTACACTGGGTCTCAATATGCCCCTCTTGGCATATCATATTTGGAGGTAATATTTAGATGTACTTCTAATATTTTCCTAATTAAATTTTAATTTATACTATGGTTGACATGGTTATTTTTCATGCTAGTCACCTAAATGAAAACTGAAAGTTAGTTGGCATTTATTTTAAAAATCAAGTGGGTGAACAAATAACTGTATTAATACCTCTTACGGGGCTTGCTTTACTACCCTTCAAAGAGTTTTTTTCCCTTAAAAATGAAGTGTAACTTACATACAATAATGTGTGCAGGTCTGAAGCATACAGCTCAGTGAATTTTTACATATGTATACACCCATGAAACAACCATCCAGATCAAGGTATACAACAGGTCCAGCCCCAAAAGATCCCCTTGTGTCCCATCCCAGTCACTTACCCCTCCATTCCCAAGGAGAACCAGTGACCTCTAAAATCTTATTAATTTTGACATCTTTGAACTTCATGTAAATCAAAATGTATAGTGTGTGTCTAACTTCTTTCTCCATGTTTACTGTGTGACACTAAATTCGGTTATTTATGCAAGATGTTCATATTTCATAACTTCTAAAAGTTATGTCTGATCTATACAGGCATGTCAAAATCTCATTGCCCTCGATTTTAGGAAATATACTGAAGAAGTGTTTAGGGATAAAGTGGTATCACATCTGTAACTGACTCTAAAATGGTTCAGAAAAAATGTACACATATTTAGAGATGGAATGAGAAAGAGAAGGGTAAAGCCAGTGTGGTGAATGTGAACCTTTGGAATATCTGGGTGAAGTGTTCTTGTACCTTTTCTGAAAGTCTAAAAATATGTTAAAAAGTTAAAAAAATCTTATTTCCTTTCTACAGTTATTCTTATTTTGCTTGGATTTCTAAAGTGTAGAGGAGACCAGATGTGACTTGTTTAACTGTCTTGTTCTGATTTAGGGGCTCTAGTTTTAAAATTAAGATGATAAAAAAAAGAACTCCACCTAGAACTGAAAGCATGCATCCCTGCGTGGACACCTCTCATTGGAACAAATACTGTTTGAGAAGAAAAACCCTCCTTCCCATCCTGAAGGTTTGCTTCCCTTTCTGAGTGGCTAACAGACTGTGTTTATTTCAGGTATATGAGTAGACCAGTGATGAGTGGACCGGGACTCTATGACCCCACAACCATCATGAATGCAGATATTCTAGCATATTGTCAGAAAGAAGGATGGTGCAAATTAGCTTTTTATCTTCTAGCATTTTTTTACTACCTATACGGGTAAGTTTAAAAAGTAAAATGAAAATATGATTTCACTTTGCTGCCTAAAATGTTTGTAGGCATTATGGTCTTAATACTTTAAAATCCACTTAAAGAACAACTCAGAGTCTTGGAGGTGGTAACGATAATGGCACAGTGCACACCAGCAAATTCCCACACATTGAAGATGAATATGGATGTGAAGGGCCAGGGTTGGTACTTGTCAAGACAGCCAACAGTGAAGGGGCAGAAAGCTTAGTCAGGGTACTGCTTCCTAAGTTATCAGACACATTCAGTGAGTAAAGGACAATCCTCATTCTCCATGGCGAAGTGATGGCATTGGGAGTATATGGCTGGATGAGTTTGCAAAACAATTTTTGCTTAACTTCAGTCTCAAGATTGTCTTTAATTTTTTCCGTATCATTCTTCATAAACTATGTGCTCTGTCTTTTATTTTCTGGTTTGCTTGATCCAAATGGGATGACTGAAAGAAACAAACAGTTCTATCTTACAAGATGGTGCAGTTATTGGTTTTTCTCCCTTTACACTGTGATAGACTCATATCATTGTTCCCCTACATCAGAGTTTCTCAGCCTCAGCACTGTTGACATTTTGGGCTGGATTAATCATTGTTGTGGGGGCTCTTCTGCGCATTGTAGGACGGTTAGCGGCATCCCTGGCCTCTGCCCACTAGATGCCAGTAGCATCTTCCTGCCCCAGTTGTAACAATCAAAAATGTCTCTCGACACTGCCAGATGCCCCAAGTCGGGCAACGTCAGCCCTGCTTGAGAACCACTGCTCCAAGTGTACTGTTGGTGGAATAACATGGCTGCTTGTTACAGCTGGAAAAGGACACTGTCAGGTGTGGAATTAGAATTTTTCTTTAAGCTATATGAATACACTTTTCCCATCTTTTATTGATGTGTATTCAACTAGAGAGGGCTTTCTGATTTTCAAAATCTAAAGAAAATTAGCTGTATAAGGTGAAAATGTTGTAATAAGCTTCCATTTCCTTTTCTTTTTGTTACTTGAAAACTTGCTAAGTATTAGATGACAGGCTTATATTTGTATTTCTCCTTACATCATATAAATTTCCGTTATAGACAAGGATAAATGAAGGGCTGGATTGAAATTTAGGAAAAAGATATTTTTGTGCTTTTAGAGGGTATAATTGTGAACGTGAGCATCCTTTACTGCATCTACAAATCTTGTTCCTTCATATATGAAACACAGATAGTGAATCCAAGTTCTGAAAAGTGAAATTCCATGTGTCCTTCTAATGTCCTGTTAATTTTCATTTTAAATTAATTTACATTTTATAACATACCTGAAACAGTGCTGGTGTATAGTAGGCACTTAAAACATATTTGTTGAAAGAAAGAAAAGAAATGAATGATTGAATAAATGATAAAATTGGAGATGTACAGTTGTGGGAAAATGTTCACCCAGAGATAGTGGCACCAGGATGTTCATTGCTGCTTTCACTTGTCCATTGAGTTTGTTCCCCTCCTTGCTTTGTATTTCCATTTAGATACACATGCCTTTGAACCATGACGGTTCCACATGGCTTTTTCTGTAGAATGTCTCCTTTAGGCCATAAGCCTAAATCAAATGGCTATTGTTTTTTATTTTGCTCCTTTGTCCCCTTTTCTTGTTTAACTCTGTTGCTGTTGCCTAGAGCCTTTCTCCAGTGGGAAAGTTCCTTAATTGACCATTCCCGTCTGTGAAATGGGGATGATGATGACACCTACCTCCTAGGACTGCTTGGAGGTTTCAGTGAGGTCCTGTATATAGAAGACCTCACGGGGCCTGGTGTGAAGTGAGCCCTCGGGAGATGCTTGCCTTTATTATTAGACACAACTCCAGAGCAGCGTGCTGTTTGGATTGCTTCTCTAAGCTCTGATCCCCCATTAAGCTTTCAGCTGTGCTGTTCTATTTGCTAAAATTGGAAAGGAAGTACGGGACAACCACAGCACATGCACTGAGTCAAACTCCCACCTTAGGCAAAGTCCATATATGTAGATTGAAATTGTGTTGTGAACTTGTCATTGGTCTTTTCCTTTCTGTGATGATGTGATAGCACAAACTAGTTTGCTACATAAAGCAGACTCAACTTTTTGGTGCTTTAGTTGTTATAATTAGGAATGTTTGAATTAACAGCTTTTTTCTTCTTTTCAGCATGATCTATGTTTTGGTAAGCTCTTAGAACAGCGCTCAGAAGAATCGGGCCAGTTCAGTGCATGCACAAAGCCACCACGTGGAGGGCTTCTATCCAGCAAGACCCTGTTTCCAAGAGTAGCCTATGGAATCTGATCAGTTACTTTAAAAAATGACTCATTATTTTTTAAATGTTTCCACATTTTTTGCTTGTGGAAAGACTGTTTTCATATGTTATACTCGGATAAAGAATTTAAATGGAATTACGTATACATTAATATCAAATGATTACCTCTGGTGTTGACAGGTTGGACTTGCACTCCTTAAGGAACAGCCATAATCCCTTGAATGATTGTATTAATTATTGACTGTCCTTACTCCATTGGAAGCTCGTGTTTATAGGAACTTGTAGGGCTCATTGGTTTTACTGAAATTCCATCTAATTATAAATTAGCTGTAGATACCAGGTGCTTCTGATGAACTGAAAATAGATATCTAGCCTGTGGGAACCATCATGGTTTCCTCATCTATCATGTAGAAGATTATATATGGATACATTAAAAACATAAGAGTGGGATGTTTTCCCTTTGACTTGAATATTATCCCTGTATATTGCATGAATGAGAGATTTCCCATATTTCAACCAGAGTAATAACTTGCTTTAATTCTTAAGCATAAGTGAACATGATATAAAAATATATGCTGAATTACTTGCAAAGAATGCATTTAAAGCTATTTTAAATGTGTTTTAATTTGTAAGACATTACTTATTAAGAAATTGGTTATTATACTTGCTGCTTTAATCTGGTGGTAAAGGTATTCTTAAGAATTTGCAAGTACTTTAGATTTTCAAAACTGAATGAGAGAGAACATTGTATAACCGCCCTGCTGTTCCTTTAGTGCAATACAATAAAACTCTGAAATTAAGGCTTATTTTCAGTGCATTGTTTTAAAGGCTACAAATAGCTATTTCTTAAACTTGCTTAATCCATAATAAAGATATGTTACTGTCCGTTTTTTAAGCAGATAGTAGAGTATTACATTGTGTGTGTGTTTTTTTAAATACCATGCTTGAATCTAGAAAGGAAGATTTTTAAATGGCTAAGCACATTACCCTCTCTAGTCAGTTGACAAGATTCATAAGCATCGACGGCACAGCATTGTCATTTTTCTTACCAATTTAAAAAATTGTGACGCTTAACATGTTTTAAGTATTCTTTTTCCTTTTTGAAGCAGCAGGTGTTTAGGTAAAGTGACTTGTAAGTCTGTTCTTCGCTGCTGCTTGTGAGGTGGGTAAATTGCGACTTGCATGCTTTCGTAAGCATCCTTGTGCTTTACTTGGGATGAGGAAGTTAAAGGGATTGAAAATAGTTTTCAGTGGTTCAGAAGTTAAAATGAAGGATCAAAGAAAGAAAACCAATTTATAGAAATGCCATGTAATAATCAAGGGAGTGTATGGGTGTGTTTGTGGAAGTCTTGCTATAAGAACCCCTTGAATTAGAGGCTGTTTTATTCTCTACTGGTGAAAAAACGCTCCCCCACCTTTGGGAGAGTGGCTGTACTGTTTGGGATTGGGTAATGAGGATGAACGTGTTGGAGAGGATGTAGAACCAGAAGAGTGAGGAGAGTCAAACCATTTCCCAACGAGAGAAGCTTTAGAGACCTTGTATTTTATAGTCTGGAGAACAGCTCGAGGGATCTGACTGTTCACCAGTTCACGCAGTAAACTGTTTATTGAGCACTTGCTGGACGTTGGAGTGTCGTGCTCTGAGTCTCAGCAGTCATTCAGTTTCCAATCCACTCAATTCGATCAGCACCTACTCCTCATTTTTCTTTCTTGTCCACAAGTACTTTTGATCATGAGAGACCTGGTCAAGTCTTGTATACTCCTGATAGGTTTCCTGGGGCTATTACTTTAGTATTCCTGGGTAAGTATTTTCATGAGCCCTTATTGTCCCTTAGCAAATACTACTTTCCTTTATAAGTTTTACCAAACACCCTTTTAATAATGTATACGGGAATATTCTCCGGGATTAATACAAGGCTACTCGTGGCAATTTGTGGAAGCCACCTTCTCATGCTTCAAAAATTAGATATGTAGTCCTTAGCAGATTCCCCAAAGATGATTGACAATGAGCTTCACCCATCTCAGTGGTAGGTTGTTAGTTCCTAAGCATGTGATTAGAAGATTGAGAACCTGGATGTTCTCATATCTACCCATCTACCTTTTCCAGTGTTTTATGAAATTAAGTCACTTACCAAGAGAAAGCAGGAACATATTACTTGCATTGACAGTCTCCCACTGGCTCTTTTCCTTGCTCTGAATTTAATTTGTTCTCCCCATTAATCTGTTTTGCGTGGCCCTGGCCTTACATCTGTTATTCCTGCAAGTCCAGCTGAAGCGTAGTTAGCTTGGGTTTGTAATCCCTTCCGGCTTTTATCAAATTGCTCCCTGTGCACGATAGCCGTTTAGGTATGCTTTTTGTCCTTGTTATAATTACTTTGATACTGTATGCTTTGATTTATCCTTAAGAGCTTTCCAACTCTGAAACAGTAGTATAACACACTATAGTTTATAAGTATACCAGCAACTCTGTTGCTATGGATACTACAGATGCTCATGAGTTAAAAATCTTACGTAACAAATGTAGTCTGTTCAGCAGTTACTCTATTGAGTAATGTTGTATCATGGCGTGTGCCCCTTTAGTACTAAGAGTGTAGGGGTAAAAGCTTATTTGAGTGCCTGTATCTGAATTTTATTAATGATGTCTGATGATTTTCACAGTGCTTAACTGATATTCCCCACTCCCTCTCCCAGGGTAGAGAAGTGTTTGGTCCCAGGCTATAGCCAAATTGCTAATTTGTTTGAAGTTTAAATTATTTTTCATAGGAAGGGGGAAGTGATTGGAAATGACCAATCTACTTTTGACACATATCAGGTATTACTAAAGCATTTGAGAAGCCTCATGGGTTATACCATGAACTGCCAGACCCACCAGTTAAGTCCAGATACCCAGGTGATGGTCTTTCACACAGCAACAAAGTACACAGCAATTTGCAGTATTAGTCTTTCAAAGCCAGCTCAGTGTTTTTCAGCTTGAGGACCACTCATGCTAGTAACTCTCACAGAGCTCTTCTCTGCTCCCCAGATCAACATATCTTGAAGATATGTCAGATATTTGCAGAGAAAGTGTTGAGGAAAATAATCCATAACCAACCTATAGATCAAAATTGGGGTGAGTTTATTATGTGCCAGATGTGAGGACCAGCTTAGCCTGGGGCCTTCCTTCCCCGAGGAGGGAAGGGGCACCAAAGAAGTGGGGTTTGCAGAGTGGTTATATACTGTCAAAGAGCATGTATCACATATGATTGAAATGTCCCTTTTACAGTAGTCACAAGATTGCTCTGTCAGCACAGTGATTGATGGACACAGCATGTAGCAGATCTGCAGTCTCGATGGACACAGCAGGTAGCCTGTCTGTTGTCTCCAGCTGGGTGGTCACAGGGTGAGCGCAGCAGTCAATCCCTACCCTAGGGAGAGATGCTTATCCTTAAGGAAATGCCACTGTGGGGGAAGTTGCATCTTTATCTTAAGGCCATTTGTTCTTGTCTTTGGGACAGCAAATGCTTAAAGCAGATGTATGATGCATGCTCAGCGGCTACGTCAGACCCTTTTGAAAGAACGAGGTCAGGCTGAATCGGGTTTATACCAAGTGGCTTCCTTACATACTGCAGTATATCCTATGGCTTGCCATTTGTTTGTGAAAAGGAAATGGAGATGTAGATACACATTGAAACTAGCAAAATATTTTCCTTGGTGCAACACTTCTTTTTTCCTCCAATTTTATGTTTATGAATAGTGTTCATGGAATATTATTGCCATGGTACAAATAAGGACTTACGTGTGTATCTCTTATAGCCTGCAGGGGTGGGCTTTTAAGTATGGCTGGCTATATCATAGCAGGGTGATATTGTGAGCCCATTCAAATAACGATCTATATTTAAAAGTATACATTTAGTTTACTTATATCATTTAACACTCAGAAATGTGCATCTCTTAATAATCAGTTGTACAATATAATTGTCAAGCAGAAATTGACAGCAAAATATTTTAAAATAGTACTTTTCAAAAGGAAAAGATAATATTGAGACCTTGTCTAGCATTGTTCTTAAGTACACATATTCATCCTTTTGGGAAACTGAATAATGCTAGTCTCAAATAATTTTAAGGTCTTTTGCTCAAACCAATCATTGATCTGTGGTCAGTCTAGCAGCCAATGAGTGTCTGGAACTAGTAATATAACTCAGAAGATGGTTCTGAACTAATACTGCAGGGTGATGCCAAGAGCAAAAATGTTCTATTTCTGGATACGTTGAATAGCTTTCTTAGAACAATTTTGCTTTAAAATTCAGAGTTCTCAAACTAAATGTCCGCCAGGGGTACACAGCTCTGCTGCTCGTTCTTGGTTTTGGAAAGCAGTAGTAGCCGTCTAAGGTGATTGACCTGTGAGACTGGAGAGAAGGTGTTAGCCCACATGAACTTTATTACTGCACCTTGTGCAAGTGACGATGTAGAGGACGTTTGGATATGGAAAAGAATGAGTAAGTTAATTTTATTGTTCACTGCTTTTTCTAAACATTTAAATTTCTTTGGTTACTATGTTCATGTATTCTGGAGAAGAAAATCTTAAATAATAAATTGATGACTGGGTAGACCCTAAAACTACTAAGAACATAGAATGTAGTTAGCCGTTTGCTCATGGCTTGTTAAAGTCTAAGTTAACCTTAATGGTGCTTGCCACTGTCCAAAGAAAATGTCATAAGTCTCTTACCTTCTTTGAGCTTGCTGGATTAGTTTGCTTTTGTATGTTTAATAAAAACCATCTCCAGTGTTTCCCTGTGTAGTCTGTGGGTAGTGGCTGAGTCTGTGTGGACTCAGTTTCAGCGGCTCACTCGGGCATGTGGGACCAGGACTGCAGATTGTCTCTCCGACTCCCCCCACCCTGCCCACAGTTTGAGGGCCATCCCACAGAGAAAACAGTTTTCCAAGAATGTTGGAGTTACATGTAATTAAACTTAATCGGACAATTATAGTTGAGTAGTGATATTCTATGTTTTTCTGTTATGGAATCATGAGGTTCTTCCTTATACCTAGTATTAAAGTAGTTTGGTTAGGCGTTTTAAACGTGGAAAGCTGAACTAGCACTTGCAGTGGAAATTGAGAGATGAATGCATTTTGAAAATTCAGTTGATTATTAAAGGATTTAATTAACCTATGCCAATATTTTTTCCTCGATTTCCTTAAATATTCACGAATAAGCTATATATTTATATTGGGAGAAAGCTAACAGAAAGTTTGGTAATGTCAATTTCAGTGACTAACTAAAGTTTAATAGAATATTGTGATTTTAAATTGTATGTGGTTGTAATACCAAAATCATAAGGAAGGTCAATCTATATTGCAGCCTGTACTTTAAAAAAAATAACTTTCTTGCCATAACTTTGGCATTTATTATCTTAGATAAGAAATCCCTAGGGATATGTGATTCTCCCATCTTCCTTAGTATTCTTGTAAAATCTTCAGTTCTAGAAGCAGTCCATATATATAAAAGTATTAACATACTGATTTTATATTATGGCACATACTGGCTCTCTGGTCTGAAGTTCCCAAACGGGACTTGTCATTGTTTTAAAGTATTCCCTAATGAAATTGCCATAGTTCATCAGCAGCAAGAGGAGTTGGAGACAAAATAAGACTTTCAGTAATTATAATGATTATTTAAAATCTAAGTTTTGATGTGAAATTTACTATGTCTTGTGTGGAAGTGCTTGTGACCATTGGTTCACACCTGTGATTAGCAATAGCCAAGAGAGCCCCGGGACCACCGTGTGCAACACTGAATCCATGATGTCTGTTGAAACGGTGGCTCTGACTCTTCACGTGACCTTGTCTGCGCTCCAGAGGACTGCTCTCGCCAGCTCAGCATTGAGTTAAGGACGGAAAGACATGCTCAGTAGCATAGGGTGCAGTGAAGCA